AAATGGTCCGTATTCGAGAAATTTGACAAAATGTGCAAAATTCTGAATTTTATGAAAGTTTTTGAAATAAAAGTTGTTTGCGATATCGATCTCTATAATTTTTGTTTTTACATGATTTTTCTAAAATAGACCGTAATGAAAAAATTGTAGGAAATTTAAATTTTTCGGTATTTTCGTTTTCCATGAATATCTATAGAAAAATGTTTCGAGGTAGATGTATGTGGACAATGTATATATTTAGTTTATCCTCTAAACATTTATAGAGATGCTGCAATAGGTTGTACAAAATAACCGGAAAAAGCCTATAATAACTAGATAGGAAAGTCATGTGTTGGACACATCAGATTTTTAATCTTGAAGTAATATGTTGTTTAAACTTCAATTTTGATTTTAAAGTAAGAACTAAGTTTTTACATTGCGTAACAATTAGGATAAACGCGTTATTAATTTTTAATAATGTTGAGGAGTTTACAGAATCCCTAACCCTTCAACGGCGAGATTAATCTTTTAATTTAGAAATGATGAAACTCATTGTAGGTATCAAAAATTGTTTATTATTAAGGTATTTATACATAAAAAAAACTAATATTTTTGTTATATTCTAGTGTTACATATACGTAACTCTAGCCGTTCATGGCACACAAAAGCAAGGGCAACATACCTAATTATTTTTATAAAAAATTACATTACATTGTAAACATAGCCCCACATCACACTTGATACACATGGTACGGGTGCTCGTATTGCATCCCTCTCCAGCGCAACGACGTCTTTTATTGTTTGGAATATTGGTTAGCAAGTGGTCAAGTCGATCGTATCTCACATTGTCCGAAACTCTGTTGAGCGTAACACTGGATTTGGCAGTCGTTTGTCTCCCAACACCTTTTGGCGCCACTCCGAATTTAGTAAGATATGCTTGAGAAATTTCTTTACGAAACTCTAATTGTGTAAGCGGTGGTAGATGCTTGAGCTTTTTGGAAAGGCACCAAGCATTTGCCACGGAAACATCCAGAAGCCAGGTAAAAATGGCCCACTACCACTTTTTTCGTCGGATTGAAATCCTGTACCTCGATAATTGCTGATCCATCATATCTGTTCCACCCATGCAGCGATTGTACTCAGCAATTATTAGTCGGGGTTGCGATACTTGAACGATTTTTTTTTTCAGCCTGAGAGTAACGCTTCACCTGAATGGTTGGGTTGATTCCATGATATGTAGACGCCACTGTCACTACGTTATTGTCCATTCATTTTACCAGAATAGTTCCATCCTCTTTGTCAATATTTGAAACCATGTCTCCCTGTTTCTTAGTTTTAGCAATCTGTTTCTTTTGTGGTAATTTACAACTTTTCCCGTACCTTCGTAACCCTTTTGTTTTAGGTTGAAAAGTAAATTGAAATTTGTGAAAAGATTGTCAAAGTAGAATTTGAAGGGAAGCGTCTTCATGTGTTCGAGAAATTTATTAATCATGCATAAAAGAAGCAGCACATTTTCCAAAATTATTTTCATAAACCGTGTTTCCTTTTGGATTTTTCCCCTGGTACATATCGAAGTTTACCAAGTAACCCGTCGCAGAATTGAGGCACCACATCTTGTACCCAAACCTTATGGGCTTATTCTCGTATAAATTGTTTGCACGAATGTTTTCCAAAATACCTATTCATGGATTCGTCGTAGTCCAGGTCTTGTTCTGGAATCCAATTGTCTATAAATTTATATTTTAGCAAATCCATTAGCGGCCGTAGCTTCCATATTTTGTCATGTAGGTTGGGCTGCAAATTATCAGCACAGTGCAAATTTTTTATGATTTGGCGAAATCTGTCCCTTCTCATAGACTCACTGACCATAGAGTTTTTCATGTCCATCTTAGAATCCCAGTAGAAATCCCGTCCAGGCAACTCATTATAGCCTGTTACAATCAGAATTCCGATTGCACATTTCATTTCTTGCTTGGATATATTTGGATGTGGCTGGTTACAGAAAAGAGCATATTTATTGGACTGTTCAACAAGCAATCCGATCACTTCGTCATCTAAAAATGCTTTAAATATGTCCAAATAACTCATTTTTCCATACTTGCTATAATCAGGCTCGAAAAATGATCTTGTTTTTTCCTCAAAGTCACCCTGAATCCATGTTATCTTTTCCAGTCCTGGACGCAAAAATACATCATTTGGATAGGAGCCATGAGCAGGACGCACTAAAATTTCTTCTGATTCGGCTTCATCAACAGTTACTGCGCTTCGAAGCACTAGCTCAGCTTTCGGCAATAATTGTCGACCGCTAAGATTGTCTAAAAATCCGCCACCATCTTCCTCACCCGAGTCTTCATCTGTCAATATGGTCGCATCAGGAGGCTCAATATATATTTCGTGCACATCAATATCATCGTATGCCATTTGAATGGCTTCTTCCAAAGTAAATCCACGTCTAAAATAGTAAAAAGCACCCATTCAATAATTTGCAATATTTTGTATATCATAGCCAGCTAGCGTTGCCTATAAGTAACAGTCACGTTTAGAGCCTTATATATATAAAAAAAAAAATACATTATTTTTTGAAAAACCTGTACTATAGCATGCAAGGCAGACTATATTATTAGTAAAATTCGATAATATATCACAATATAATCTAAAAACAAACGACAGTATTTAATTACTCTAATCGAATGTCCATTTTTCACCGACCTATTTTTTTCACTTGATTTTAGCACCTGATTGATAAAATTTGGTTGCACCTTCTCATAAAATCAATTCAATATGTTGTTTCGTCAGCGTTCAACGACACTCTAACGAATCCATGTGTCCTTCACAATAATAATATTAATGCACTGTTGTCACTTGTTGCGTTGCTTCCTTAGAGTTACATATAAGTAACGTTAGCCGTTGAAGGGCTAATTGACCCATTACAAAAAATCATTGCTTTGAATTTTTTAGAGTAAATTTTTAATAAATAATTTTAAGATACATTAAAGATTTTATTTGGATCAGAATTAAAATAAAATTATAACACTTAAAGGAGTAGTATAATTGGGTGTCATCAGCGTATAATTGGTAATTACAGTGTTTAAGTATACTTAGAAATAGTGAGGTATACAGAGTAAATAAAAAGGGGCCTAAAATACTACTTTGAGGTACACTAGATGTAATCTCTAGCGGTGTAGAAGACACTGTCTATTTGAACAATTTGTTTTCGCTGATAAAGATATGATTTAAAGAAAGACATAGATATGTTATTAAATCTAAAAAACTTCAACATGGCAAATAAAATTTTTGTGATTTATATTATCGAAAGCTTTCGAGAAATCTAATAGTATTGGGATAAAAACCTTGTCATTACCCATGGCCCTAATTAAATCATTTATAACATCCACTAGGGCTGTAGCACAGCTATAGCCTGACATAAAACCACATTGTTTACTAGGTAATATATTTTTGTTTTTCAAAAACCCTCTCATTTTAATCACGATTCCTCTCTCTAATATTTTGGAGAAAACAGGTAAAATACTAATTGATCTTAAATCACTGCAATCTTCAGGTAAAGTTACTTTAAGTAAGGGCAAAACTTTAGCAAATTTCCATGATTCACGAAAATAACCATTCATGTGTGTAATAATGTGTACTAGAAATGAACAACAAAAGTGTAAAATGGTAATATTGTTATGATGAAATGGTGTTTACTATTCCTTCGGTACAAAAAATAGTGTATGTACTAGGAGACTAAAGTGCGTTTTAATCCCTCGAAAGAATCTTCACTCTCGTGATTAAAAGTGGCACTTTAGCCCCTTGGTACATTATGTACTATTTTGCCTTCTTATGATATCGTGAATTTGTGGCCTGATTGACGTATGTGCTTCGACATAAGGAAATAGCATAAAGTGCGTGCAACACATTCGTTATATATCCAAAGTCGAAACTTTATTACAAAACTACAAATATCGAAAATTTTCTGAAGAAAACAGACGCGTACAGCCGACAAAACCGCTATGCGGAAAATTTATCGCTTCGGAAAATTTTCGCGAAATGTAATTTGGAAAAACAAACTGCAATTCGTTTTCTTGTTGCCGCAGATCAAATTCGGTGTAAGCGGAGCGACGTTTCGAACGTAATATCTCTATCTGTCGGAGCAACGACACTTTCGAACGTTCAAAACTTAAACTACATCTACGCGTCACTTGAGCGGTTTCCAGGCGTATGTGTGAAAAATTGAAATTGAAAATTTGACTACACTAAAACAGCCTTCACGTTCATATAGAGACACAGACGGTTCAATACCAGTGGGGTAGACAAGCGCACACAAGTATATTTTTGGGAATTGCTATTTCTAAGTTTTTAACAGCGGACGGACGAGAAACTTAAATCCTAGGAAAAGGGATACACGTCGATACACTCAGATAGTAGAAATGGCTTACGGTATCTCCAATTTCAATCAAACCTAAGCTAAGCTATAAATAAAGAAAGCTGTGGCATTGAATTACTATTGCAACAATATTGTGACATATAATTTTATACAAAAAATATATCGTCGAAACGAGCATATTACGTCAGAGCGTTTGAATTAAGAATGAAAATAAAACCTGTTAAGGTTACGTATATGTAACAAGTTCCAACATTGGACATTTTTACTTTTTATGTAGCAATGTTTTTTATAAAGAAATAATAAAATTAAATAATTATACATGTCTGCATTGCACAATAATTAGTTAATAAGTTTTATTTACTGGATTTACTAGGCCATGAAGAAAATGTAAATGACAAAAACGGATTTGTTTTTGATAATCAGCTTTGCGAAGGACCAAGTGTTGCATTGAATTTGTTATGTATATTTCGTACTATTTTATATTGTTTTACCATCATCGCTATATCGATGTCATTTTTTGACTAATAATTAATTGTCAGTTAGTTTCAATAAACATTATATTCTTACAAATCGGAATTTATTTCACATTTTTCGAACTACAAGAATATAACAAATTGGCGGCAACAACCACAAATCCACGATGGAAGCGCAAGTACTCACAGAAGGGGTAAATACCTTAAAAATTTACAAACACAACAAGATCACCTTACAAGGCAAATTTTTGGGAAAAATTAGCAAATTCAAATCAATACAACAGGTATGTCTTTACAACCCTACTGTAAAATGAATGAATCATTCGGATCTTATCTACAACGTTTGAAAAATTATTTTACATTACGAAAAATATCCGACGATACACCTGAAAATGATAAAAAAGTGTTAAAATTTTGATTAATTGCCTGGGTCCTAAAATTTTTCAAACGTTAACTAGTCTCACTGCTCCAGATCAACCATCTAATAAGACATAAGGAATTAATGTCACTTTTGAAGGAGTCTTCCCCCCTTCCCCGCGCTAAATTTTGTTAGCAACATCTACTCCCCCCGAGGGGGAAAATACCTCTTCTGTAATTGGCTTATTTAATCAGCATTGCCAAGTTTGACAGCGCCAGAAGTGTTCTGTGAGCGCCAGTTCTGACACTTTCTGACACATGTCAATTTCTTATTTGTATTTTACGGAAAATATTATTATTTATAACGTTGTAAGGGTTGTAAATGTATATTTAAGATTTATTATCTCTAATAATATGGTAAAAACATGCGTTATGTGTAAAAGGCCTGTTGAAAATGCTTCTTCAAGATAATGTCATAAGTAAGTACAAACACAACCTAATTATCAGAGGCGGTGCATTAGGCAATCACCTTTAATTTGCAATTAAACTTTCTTATTTGCTTATCGAAAAATTAAAATTAAGAGCAAGTAAACTCCAGCTAAGTTCGTCTTCATCCGTCTGTCTCATAATGATTATAGTAAAGGTTAATTACTTATTATTTTAATATCACATCTTTGTAAAGTTTATTGTTATTTTTTAGGTTTCCTTTTCTTGATATGAGAAAGAAATACATGGTTCCAAAATATAGGAATTCAACAAGTGACCAGCTGAATAACTTTTTATGCTAATGAACATTTTTATTATAGACCTCAGGGGAGGAAAATATTAAAGAAAAATGCAATTTCCACGAAAGAAGTATAATAATCAATCCTGTCACTACTTCTACACTATATTCATCTGCTACTAAAATACTAAAACAGCAAGTAAGTTTATTTCAAAAAGAATGTTTAAAGAAAAAGGCATAGCCATTTTTTGTTGACATTTTTTTTTAAATAATCTAAAAGACTAATTTTGTGTATTGTTTAAATTTTCATTTTTTGTACTTAATTTGTTTTAGGTTTAAACAAAATGAACTTCTAAGATATGCATGGAATATCCCAAAAGAGCTAAGGAAGGTTTTAAAATTCTTAAGAAAACTATTGAGAGCCAAAAACATAAAATAATAGTTTATAATAGGTTAATGGTGCGAATTTAAGAATATCCTTAAATTTTGTGGTCAGACGGGTCAAAATTTACCTGTAAAGGGATTAACAATTGTAAGCAATGTCAATTCTAAGCAAACGAAAACCCACATTTTTATCGGGAAGTACAATTTCAGCACAATAATTGGCATTAGAATTTGAAAAACATAAATAGGTATAAATATTTAGATATTATGAGTGATTTTTTATTCTATAAATAGAACATAATTTGCTTCTAAATCACTGCCTAATGAACTATATTATATAGTACAATACTAAACAAGAATATCACATTATTCATGTTTTTTTAATTTCCTTAAAAAACGTCCCAAAAAAATGTGAATATTTATTATTGGAGTTTACATCGTTATGCTAAAACAATACTAGAACAACTTAAATAATGTGGATTTTGACTATTTTGAGTTATGCAGATCATTATGATCTAAAAAAATGTTTGTCTGGTACTATAGTCAGGTATAAAAACATTCATTTATTTAAACACAGTTGCAATATACATTTTATTTAGTTTTTAAGTTAAAACCTATTAGGACATCCTAAAATGACTTTTTTCGTTTGATATGAGATTAATTATTCTACATTTTTGTTGGTGAAATAGGATATATTAAGATGTCTTACTGTTTTCTCTGATTATCTTAAAAGTTAGAACAATATACAAAGACTGTTATCACAAAAAAGAGATATACCTTTACTTAAACACTTAGTCAGTTCAATTGTACAATAATTTAATGCATAAATCCAGAAAACTTTAAAAATGTGTTTTTACTATAACAAGGACATAATTATTAAAAAAACTTGGCGCATTAACTTTGACGATAGGTTTTTATAATATATATTATACAAATCACAACGAACTACACAAAACGACATTATTAATAATTTAGCAATAAAAAAGTTAAGTACAATGATGACATTAAAAGTTGAGTTTCTCGAAATACTTTTTTTAAATTGTCTCAGTACCTACCTAGTATTTTTCTAGCACAATGATATTATATGAATGTGCATTGTGTGATATCTTATATTTTAGGAATAAAATGATATATTTTTTGCAGGTTTCTGTTAACAACGATTCCAAGAACTTTTGAATATATTATTAAAACGGCCTTTGCAAATATAATTCTCAATTAAGAGCTTTTGATCTAACATTAAATTTTTGTTCTCCATTAGGTTACAGCTTCCTAAGAAGAAAATTTAACAAGACTTACCAGACTCAAAATATCAAAATTTTACCAATCAATTGATGGTTCTACTAGTTTCCATAGGAAAATTCTCCTCGAAACTACTAAAAGAAAAGTGGCAGAGGCAACCGATGAAGGCAAAAAACTAGAAATTTGTTTAAGAATCTAATTATTGTTTGAAGTTTTACCATTAATAATTTTTGATAACGATTTAAGATTATGAAGTTTTATTATGTATTTTACTTTTTGATAACCTATGTTTAAATTTTTATTAGGACCAAAATAAATTATAATTTTCATTTTAACTACAAAAACCCTCATATTAAAAAGAGGAAAAAACGTTAGATTAGTTATGTTCAGGAATAAACTCTTTAAACATATATCTACTTAAAATGTGTTACTTTTAGAAGGTATGTTATTAACTTTCCATTTGTACTTGTATTAATTTATTTCATTTCATTATCTGTTGTATTTTCAAATTGATTTTGATATTAATCTTATCTATTTATATATTTCTTATATTCCCATATATGTTTTTTTTTTTCATTGAAACAAACGTTTATTAGCTTATTAAATATAATGAATTCATATTGTTTTATTATATGCTTGTATGAATGATTACTTTTATTTCCTTTTAAAAATGAATTTCGAAGATAAAGCCGAAACGGTGCCGGTGAGAGAGAATAAAAAATTAGACGAAAGTGACGATATTTACTGGAGCTTTCATCTACACCTGAGCCAGCAAGATTCGTCTTCCCTTCATCCTTACATTCTCCAGATTTACAGAGAAAACGCCGTCCTCTTTAACATATCTAGACCTTCTTTGACGGGGACTATACCACTACATTATCAGCTTTATTTATTATCTCGAGCAATTTAAATGCATTCGTAATTGCTCATTCTCATCTCTTGTAGATTCCGTACTCAGTTTTCTTATTTTTAGTTACGTTTGCACTGCTCTTTTATTTTCACAGCTTTAATTCTATAATGCTGTAACGCTACAATATGGATCCATTTTTGTGGTTTATACTATTTAATGTTATTCGTAAGTGACCAACCTATTATAATAATTAAAGATTATTGTATACAGGCCTGAAGATGTTTCTGTAAGGCCGAAACTAGTCGCTACTGTATTTATTTATAATAAAATTGATTTTAAGGTTTTATTCTTCAATTGAAAAAATTAGACCGTTACAGTGATTTTGTTTCATTTCCTGCATTAGACACATATAAGACGGTATTATTTTTAAATATAGTAAAATTAGCAAATTTTTTAGTTTTTTTTTACAATTAAAACGTTTGGACAATGTGTGTTTTTATAGATAAATGATACGCCACTGAATAAGAAGGATGTGTACCTTCCCCCTTGTGCCCGCTTCCTCACTTCCTCTACAGATGTTGCTAACACAACAATCGCCTACAAACTCGTTTTCACGCTCCCTCTATTAGTAATTGCTCGGAGGTTACATCTATGTCCCAAACCTAATGACATTTCCGAGCAACATAAATTTTTCTTAAGGATTTAATTGGAAGGTGAGACAATCGCTCAATATCAGGCTGAACAGAAACACCTCACGGTAAATTGTAATTTTTTATGTGAACATTACAAGAAATCTACCTCTGATATACACTTACGTGGTCAATTTATAAGAGGTGTACAATCTAATGAAATTCGAGAAAAATTATTACAAACTACAAGTGATCCTACAAATTCAAAACCCAATGCTTTTTCTAATGTTGTTTCCATTGCATCGCCGATTGAAGCATCGAAACTGGACTCAAGGTTAATGCAAGTGACACAAAATATAAACAAAGTTTCCAAAACCAACAATTATCAACAAACATATAAATAATATTTTAAACAATTCAAGTATTTTCGATGTGGAAATAATCACAAAGCTTCAGAGTGTCAAACTAAAAACCTTAGCTGTAGTTTTTGTAAGAAAAAAGGTCACTCTGATTTGGTTTGCTTCAGAAAACAACATTTTCCCGAATGCTACCACTGGTTTGTGTCCTGGTGAACTAATTTTTAACAAAACATTCAAGACAAGGATCGATTTAGTTTAATGTAATATGCATACTGAAGACAAAAATGAACTACATCCAATGAAAGAGAAAATTGATGCAATGTTACAAAGTTCTAAACCGACAAATGTTAGCGAATTAAGAACCTTCCTTGGTCTTGTCAACTATTTATACCAAATTTGGTTTCGAAACTCAATCCTTTACATAAACTCTTACAAAAAGACGAAAAATTAAACTGGAGCAAAGAATGCGAAATATTTTTCAAGAATTAAAAAAAGAGATTGTAAGTCCAAAAGTATTAGTTCCATTTAACGTCAATTTATCAGTTACATTAGCCACTACTCCTCACCAACTGGTTTAGGAGCCGTATTATCAAATAATATGGAAGATGGATCTGAAAGGCCAGTAGCGTTTGCGTCTAGATTTTTGACAAAGGCAGAAAAGAACTATAGTCAGCTCGATAAGGAGGCGACTGCTGTTATACGGGGATTACCAATTTTTTTTCAGTACTGCTATGGAAGATAAATTACGTTCATAGTGGACAATAAACCTATATAGACAATTTTCCATTCAGAAAAGAATTTACCGCTTACTTCTGTACTACGATTAGTTCATTATGCAAATTATCTGTCAGGTTTTACAAACAATGTTAGAACAAGATCTACAAATGAATATGGAAATGCTGACTACCTATCAAATCAGTTTGTGTCTGAAGAAGTAAATGTAGCTAACGCATTTTTTTAAATCAAATTAATGTTCTTCCAGTTACTGGAGATGAAATTCAAGTAGAAACAATAGCTGATACAGAATGTCAAGCCACTGGTTGGGTAAAATAACGTGTATCGATGCTCTGCGTTAAATGGCGAAATTAAGTGATTAATAATTTGAAATAAAACGAAAAAGTGATACCGAAGTGTGCAGTACAAAATTAGCATTCTATGTAAGTAAACATATACATTTAAAACCCAACTATTAAACACATAAGTGTAAAGAATGCAAATCGAGTTAACATCAACTGAAAGAAAAAAACCTGTAATAATCTATACGAGTATATAAATAAGAAATATTTTCCATAGGCGGGTATTGATTAAATATTAAGAAAGCAATGCCTATTTCTCTTGAAGACGTATGTAAATTGATTAAAGACGAGAATAGTAAACTTAGTGAGAAAATAGATAATATAAACGAAGAAGTCAAAATATTATCAGAAAGCATAAAAGAAGAAGTCAGTCAAGTTAAATATCGCATTGATTTACTAGAAAAAGAAAACATAGATTTAAAAAGGAAAATTGAAGTGTTAGAAAGAAAGGAAAAGAAAAATAACTTAATATTTTATAGTATACCTGAAACCCAAAATGAAACAAGTTACGAATTAGTTAACAAAGTAGAAAAAATAGTTAAAGAACATATAAAAAATGACTTTAATAAAAAAGAAATAAGTAACTGCTACAGAATTGGAAAACATAATTCAAAAAATCGACAGCCTGTACTTGTAAGCTTAATTTCAAAAATAACACGGGACGAAATCCTAAAAAACGGTAGAAAACTTAAAGGAACAAATATATCATTACAAGAGGATCTAATAAAGAAAGACCTAGAAAAAAGAAAAGTGCTATTAGAGCATCTCCGTGCTGCAAGAAATAAAAATAAAAAGGCAAATTTAAAAGGAAATAAACTTTACATAGAAGGTGAGCTTTATACCTTCAAAGACTTATCCCCACCACCTAGAAGAGCAAACAGTGAACCTTCCACGTCATCATATGAAGTATTTGATGAGGAACAAAAAGAGGCCAAAGAAGACATCAAAGAAAATAAAATAGTGCAGAATTTAAAAAATAACAACAAGAGTAGGAAAAATACCACAACCGATGATCGCGGGACACCAAAACGCACTAATCCGATACGTGCTGGAAGGAAATAGTTTATAGGGATACAGGACAATTTTATGTACACCGTTTAGTGATAGATGCTAATTAGGTTTTATTTTAAGTTATATAATTAGGTAGGTATTAAAATTAAAATATGAATCAATATTTGCGGGATTTTACACTAACTAAACTCGATACTTTTTCTATATAAAATTCTGATAAGTTAAATGAAGTACTCAACACAAATAAAAACTCACAAAATTTTACTCTAATTAATAAAAATATCCGAGGTATACGTCATAACTTAGATAAATTAAAAATATTTTTGGAACAAATCGAAACTGACATTGACTGTATCGTATTGACCGAGACAAGGATAGTTGACGACATAATAGTATTTAATATAGCAGGATATAAAACACTTTATAATCAAGGAACATTCAATCAAAATGACGGTGTAATAATTTTTGTTAAAACCGAAATCTATAGTTCACACGAAATTATTAAATTCGATAACAGTCACTTGATTAAATTAAAAGTAAATAATAACAATAAACAAATAGAAATAAACGCCCTCTACCGGTCCCCATCAGATACAAATATAAATGGATTTATAGACAACTTAACTCAAAGACTAAACGAAGATATATACACTGGAGATTTTAATATTAACCTTTTAGCAAGCACAGATGCTACAAAAATGTACTTAGATGTATTTTACGAATATGGATATGTTTCAGCAATAAATATACCTACAAGAGAAAAAAATAATTCAAAAACATGTATTGACCATATCTTTATTAAATCAAAAAATAATCAATATGATACAATTATTCCACTTGTTGTGGAAACAGATATAACTGATCACTTTGCTACACTTTCACAAATCATTTTCCCGGAAACTAAAAATCAGTCTGATAATACAAATTCAAATTGTTTTACACAATTAGACTGTAAAAAACTTCATAACATTATAAAATCTGTCAACTGGAATGAAATTTATGTTTTATGTAATCTGGATTCTGCAACAAACAAATTTATTAATATTCTAAATACTAGCGTTCAACATAGCACAATTTTTTTAAAAATCAAAAATAAAATAAGGAAAAGGTCAAAATGGATTACGCAATCATTAATTAAAGCTATAAATATTAAAAACAATTTGTACAAGACATTTAAACACAATCCTAAAAACGAGGAAATCAAGGATCGATATTTCGAATTAAAAAAAAAGTAGAGAAACTCATAAAGAAAACAAAAATAGATTATTATAAGGACCAAATTAAGAATAAAAAAAATGACTTAACACAAATGTGGAAAACAATAAATGAAGTATTAACAATCCCAGAACCGACAAAAGTAGTTAGCGTAAAAAATGAAAATAATGAAATAATTACATCTACGCAGCAAATATCAGAGAGTTTTAATAAATATTTCGTTAATGTAAGTAAGTCCTTGGCAAATAAAATAAAGTGTAATAAGGATTACAAACCACCAAGGTACATAAATGCCCATTCGATATTTTTCTCTCCTACTAATAATCAAGAGGTAATAAGAATAATATCGGACTTAAAAAACAAAAAAGCACCAGGAGATGACGGTTTGAAAGCAGAGACATTAAAACTAATTTCAGAACATATAGCTAGTCCTCTAACCTATATAATAAATAAAATGTTTCAACTGGGAAAATTTCCTACAGCTCTTAAATTATCAATCGTTACACCTATATTTAAAAATGGAGATAAGTCTGAAATGGGCAATTACAGACCTGTGTCCCTCATATCAAATATTGCTAAAATTGTTGAAAAAATAATAAAAATTAGGCTAACAAACTTTTTGGAAAAACATAACATATTATCAAACTCGCAATTTGGCTTCAGACAAAAAATGTCAACCCAGGATGCAATTAAGTGCTTAACAAAAAATATCTATGAAACATTAGACAAAAATAAACCATCAATTGGAGTATTTATTGATTTAGCAAAGGCTTTTGACACTGTAACCATAGCCTGCTTCAATCATCTTTAGAAGACATAGGAGTGAGAGGTACTGCTAATGATTTGTTTGCAAGCTACTTAACAGGTAGAAAACAAAAAGTAAAAATCAAGCAGGATCTAAGTAGTGAACAAACTATCATGTGTGGTGTCCCTCAGGGAACAGTGTTGGGTCCAGTGTTATTTATAATTTACCTAAACAATTTGTTTTTATTAGAAGAAGACAACAAAATAATTAGCTTTGCAGACGACACGGTAATATTTTATACAGCTGAAAATTGGTTTGAACTAAAACAAAAGGCTGAGGTCCATTTATCCGAAATTAAAAATTGGTTCGATCACAGACTACTTTCAATGAATTTAAAAAAAACTTTGTATGTACCTTTTAGTTCTCTAGACTCATCTCTTTCAAATTTTAAGTTAACAGTCCAAAACACAATTCAAATTCAACCTGCAAACCAAATAAAATATCTAGGTATTTTCATTGATAGTATGCTAAAATGGAACGTACATATTGATTTTTTAGAAAAGAAACTTAGATCAATTCTATATAGGTACAAACAGATCTCAGAGATACTGGATATTAAACAAAAAATTATAGTATACCAAAGTATAGTTGAACCGCATATTAGATATGGTATTTTAGGATGGGGCGGTGTTACTAGAACTCACCTAAATTCTTTGGAAATTCTTCAAAGAAGATTTTTACGTATTATTTTAAATAGAGAGGCTTTGTGTGCAAGTGATCAACTATATAAAGATACAAATATATTAGACTGTCGTCAGATATTCTTTCTTCAACCATGCAATACTCAGTTTATGACGAAACATTCCCTCAAAACTGGAACACATAAGTACGGCACAAGACAAAGGGAGGACATTATCTTGCCTTTTATGTTCAAGTCTATAGGACAAAGAAGTTTTAATTATCTGGGTCCTAAAGTTTTAAATTTGTTTCTAAAAAATACAGATAATGTAAATACAAAAAACTTGAAAAAAAAATTCAACAAGTTCTGATGCAACTACCGCGACAAGAAATAAAAAAATTGTTAGATTAGGAATAAAATAGGAAAAAAACAAAAACACAAAAAATAAAAAAAAAACAACAATCTAAACGTATAAAAAAAACGCAAAAAAAATTAAAGAAATCATCCAACAAATAGTATATTTCTTACAATTGTTTTTGATTTGTTTTAATTAATTTTTAAATTGTTTTTAATTTGATTTTAATTTTAGTTTTTAGTTTTAGTTTTAATATGTTTTTAATCATTAATCTATATATGTCTGTTTATTTTATTTTATTATGCAAAAGCATGCTTACACACAGACATTTTATGTCTCGTAAGTTTTCTTTTATTCACATAGGTACCATTAATTTTCTTTTGTATCACAAGTTTTATAAGTATGTATTTATTGTTTTTATGTGAATAAATTATTATTATTATTAGTATTATTAATAATTCAATAAAATCTGGTAAATATATCCAAAATTCATTAAATGAATATTCACTAAAAGACAGATGTATCCTTTACAACCACAGAGTTGTAATACCAAAAAGTTTACGAAAACGAATACTTGAAGAACTCCGCGAAGCACATACAGGCATTGTGAAAATGAAAGCTTTTGCCAGAAGTTATGTATGGTGGAGGGGAATCGACAAAGATATTAAAGAGATTACGAAATCTTGCAAAAATTGTTGTTCAGTTCAGAACAATCCAAAAAAAGTTCCAACACATCATTGGAATATCTGAGCGAAGCCTGGTTTTGATTACATATCGATTATGCTGGTCCGTTTATGGGTACAAATTTTTTAATTATTCTTGATGCCTATACTGAATGGTTGGAAGCTTTACCTACACATGTCACAACAAGTAGGGCTACAACAGTTTACATCCTTTGAAATAAGACAGTTCTTCAAATCTAATGAAACAAACTTCAAAACAATTGCGCCATATCATCCAGAATTAAATGGCCAAGCTGGACCATATGTGCAAATTTTGAAAAGGAATTTGCGAGCTGTAATGGATGAGCCTGAAGATCTTAATGTTAAGTTAGCAAGATTATTAATGCAACACAGAAAATCACCGAATGTTACCACTGGTTTGTGTCCTGGTGAACTAATGTTTAACAGAACATTCAAGACAAGGATCGATTTAGTTAAACGTAATATCCATACTGAAGACAACAATTCTTTTCAAAATCTGTTAAAAAAGGTTTGAAATTGGTGATAAGGTTCAAGCAAGATTTTACAAGGGAAATGAAAAATGGAAAGTTTGAACTGTGTGTGATAAAAATAGCATGTTACATTATGAAACTTTGGTTGATGAACAAAAGATCATTAGACATGTAGATCAATGACGCTCAACTAATTATTCCGAACCATCATGTTCAAAGTATCCTAGTGGTGCAAGTGTATGTATTATACCTGGGGTTGAAAGGGTTTTTCGTGAAAGTGAAAATGTTGTGCCGGAAGATAATGGAAATTCAATTATTGAAAAGTGTTATGAGGATTCTCAAGGTCCAGTTAATTCATCTATTGAAGAAAACGATAATCATATTTCTCTTACCAGTAATTCTAATTGTCATGAATTTATTGATGATCCTTCAACAAGCGACAACAATGTTGATGTTGATAGTAACAAAAAAATGGAAAATAAAGACTTAGAATTTCCTCATCGTTCAACAAGAGTAAGAAGGCCTGTAGAAAGGTTGAACTTTCAATCATTTTGACAAGGAGAAGTGTTATGTATATTTCGTACTATTTAATATTGTTTTATCATCATCTCTATATCAATGTCATTTTTTGATTATTAATTAATTGTCAGTTAGTTTCAATAAACATTATATTCTTATAAATCGGAATTTATCTCATGTTCTTCGAATTACAAGAATATAATAAAATTACTATTTATAACAAAATAAAAATAAAAATATCCAATACAAACTGTGAGTACGGCCCTAAATAGGGTTCGCTTAATTAAAGTACTACTTTAATCGGTGCTGGTTTAACAATTTCACAGAAAACGAAAAAGCCACCTATTTTTTAAACATTTTAATGGTTACTTATTTACTGATACTTATTTACACTTTTGTATAACCTTATTTAAAAAATTTATTTGTTTTATGTTACTACCCAACTAGCACAGACACGTGCTTTTCACGTGAAATAGACGTCACATTTAACGTCGAAATCACAAAATTTTTGACGTGCTGATGACGTGATTATAACTGCAATATGTCACAGATCAAAGGACGTCATACAGCGACGTGATAAATACGTCACCAGATAACGTATTTAGACGTCAAAAGAAACAACCATAATACTCATTTTTATAACAAATGTTTTATAAAACAAAAGATAGGCATTGCATTCTTGTTTACTGCATAAAACTTCTGAATTAAAACATAGTAAAGTATACTAAAATGAACTCAAATTACGACTGGTGAAAGACTGTCTAAAAGACCTGGCACAGCTAAGTTGTGAAAATAAGGTGACCCTATCCTAGGTTCCAGGCCATGAGGGATATCATGGCAACGAAAAGGCCGGACGAATTAGCTCGAGAAGGCTCAGATAAGGCCATAACAGACCCCGAACCCTTCTGTAGAGTTGCTAAGGCATTGTACAAGGCATCCACTAAACAATGGATGCAAAAAGACTCTCAGGAATGGTGGAACAACTAGACTGAGACAGGCCAAACAGTTCATCAAGGAACCATCGGCCAAGTTCATAAAAGACCTAT